AATATATATAAATATATATATATATATATATATATATATCTTAATGAGAAGAGATTTGAGACTTGGTCCTTAATAGAGTCTAGATATTCTGAAATTTTAGAGTGATCATGTTTGTGAAGATAGATTATAAGTTCGCTCTGTCTTTTAAAAAGGTTATTTCAATAATTAGAACAGCCAAATAATTGGAAATAGAAAAACTTCTCTTCAAAAATCCTTTCTGTGATCAAATGGTACTTTTTGCCAGGTTGGTTAGACCTCGGTTCTTCTGGCCTCACCCTTTAACACCTCTGTTTCCCCAGGGACTGAGAAAGGGGACATGTGGCAGAGGAATCAGATCTCTCCGGCAGAATTTACCCTTGAAGGGCTCTTCAGTGACTCTCTCACCCATCGTTTTCTTTTCTCCTTGACCACGGCTGTCTTCCTCGTTGCAGCGAGTGGCAACACCCTCCCCATTCTCCTCACCTATGCTGACCCCTAGCTTCACACAGCCATGTACTTCCTGCTCAGTCAGCTCTCCCTCCTGGACCTGATACCTGTCTCCACAGCCATCCCTAAGATGTTTACCAACTACCTATCTGGCAAGAGGTCTGTCTCCTTTGTGGGCTGTGCAACCCAGCATTGTTTCTGTTTGTCTCTGGGTGGTGCCGAGTGCCTTCTCCTAGCTCTCATGTCCTATGATCTCTATGTTGTCATCTGTCATTCACTGGATTATTCTGTGCTCATGAACAAAAGGATGAGACTGATGATGGGTGTCATGTCATGATTGGGGGCATCCATGATTTCCCTAATTCACACCGTGATCTTGATGTACTTCCCTTTCTGTGGGCCTTGGGAAATCCATTACTACTGTGAGTTCCCAGCTGTTGTAAAGTTGGCATGCAGTGACGTCTCTGTTTATGAGACCACAGTATACCTTGGCAGCATCCTTCTCCTCCCCATCTTTCTGGTTTCTACATCCTATGTCTTCATCCTCCACAGTATCATTCAGATGTGTTCAGCTGGGAGCAAGAGAAATGCTTTTGCCACCTGTAGTCCTCACCCCATTGTGGTTTCCCTCTGGTTTGGTGCCTGCGTCTTCTCATACGTGAGGCCCAGGTCCCAGCGCACTCCATTGCCAGACAAGGTTGGTTCTCTCTTCTGTAGCATCATCGCTCCTTTGCTGAGTCCTCTGATTTATACTCTCCGGAATAAGGATGTCGCTAAGGCTCTGAGGGGAGTGCTGAGGAGAGGTATTAACACCCAGTGACTGCAACTGGAGTTGCCCCAAGTATAGAGTGGAATGGGATAAGCTCCTCATGTTGATCTGGGTCAACCTCCAAGATTTTTCAGGGTTCTAGATCCCTGATGCTCTTTGTGTGATTAACACACAATTCCACTATTTTATCTTGGGGTCAGGCATCCAAACACTGTGAAGTATGTTTTAGTAGATCTTTAGACAATTGGGCAAAAACTTAAAAGAAGGTTATTTTAAAAGAAGATGTATAAAGGTCAGTGACACTCTGAAAAAGACAGCAAGATAAAGACATAAGGGCCTTTTCCTATTATTATTTTCATTGACAGAAACATATGTAAAATACGCCACTGGAGAGTATTTATGGAGTATAAAATTGGAGTGTGTTGCTTAATGTTGGAAGCATGGGAAATAATGGGTGAATGAAGGCTGTTTGAAAGGAAGGATTGGTGATATAAAAGTTAATGTTTATAGACCCCTAGATTTCCTTCAATCACAGTATATAAAAATTGAGAAGGAAAAGAATAATACATTCTGTATATATGCATAATAATAACACAGGTACATACTTCCTGCAACAAATGTTACATTTAACAAATATTTGTTGAGTGCCTAGAATAATCTAGGTGCTAAACTAAGCATTTGGAATTTGCCCTTGTGAAGATTAACAATTTAAAAAAGTGTACTCGTGCCTATCTTTGGTCTGCATTGGACCTGCCATATCAGGTAGGGACAATAGCATTTATTATTTTACAGACTGAAAATATCTTTCTGTTTTCTGAGGGTTTCTAGCTTTGTGATTTGGAATAAAAATGATTTGAACGAGAGTCTGCCACTTGCTAACATTGTGATCTATGGTAACTCTCTGTGCCTCAGTAATTTCAGATGTTTAATAGGAAATGTAGGGTAATCAGAAAATCTATGTTAGTTGTGGCTGGTCTAAGCAACAGAAGTGAGTGATAGAGGCAGAAAAGAATAAAATTCTTTTTATTCTTTTCTGCCTCTATCACTCTGTCTTCCTCATTGCAGCAAGTGGCAACACCCTCACCATTCTGAGTGACAGAATCCCTCACTCAGAGTGATAGAGGCAGAAAAGAATTTTATTTAAGGGATGCTGGTAAGATGATAGAATCGGTGGGAGCATTAAATAAGTAGATTTGGAGACTGTTACTGCTTATCTACTTACTGCCAAGTTTTTCACAGCAAGTCCAAGCAGAAGCCAATAGTAGAATTTATCCAATGGGAGTGAGATGATTTGAGTTAGCCATATGCTGAAGGGCTAACACAGTAATCATAACTACCTGATCTGCAGGAATCTCTTATTGATGGCTGTTCTCTTCACTGTGCACCAGGTCTTATGAATCTTGCTCTTGAAATTATTCCTCTTCACCCCTGCATAATCTTCTCGCTCTACTTGATCAATATTGTCAACATACAGACATACTTTTATAGCTGTCATCTTAAAAAGAAATCTCCTCTCAACCCTCCAAAGCCTAAAGAATTTTACAAGATTCCCCGAAACAGTTTTCTTTACCTGGTATTTCTACTTCTTCTGTGTCCATTCTCTCCTGAGCTCACTTCACTTGACTTGTAGCATCATCATTCTATGGAAATGCGTGTCACAAATTGTCTTCATGTCACCACACCAGTGGTCAATTTTTGGTTTACCCAACTGTCTCTGACAAAGTTGATTATACCTTCCTTTTTGAAATACTTTCTTCACTGAACACTACACTCAATTAACTTCAAATTCATTGGCTCTTCATTTTTAGTTTCCTTTGCTTGAATTGTCTCTATTTTAACTTCTTTAGTGTTGAATTGCCCCAAGGTTAGTCCTTGATTTAGTGCCCAAAATTGATCCAATTCTTAGGTCAAATATCTTAGTGTCATTGGCACCTTTTTCTCTCACACTACACAGCCTGGGGCTTTATTTGAAAAACATACTCCAAATGTGACTGTTATGGACTGAATGTGTGTGCCCCCGCCTAACTTATATTGAAATATTACCCCTAGTTCTAACTCCTAATATGGGGCCTTTGGGAGGCAATGAGGTCATGATGGTGGGAATATTTGAACCCTTATGTTATATTAATGCCCTTATGAAAGAGGCCCCAGTAATCACTCTCACCTCTTCCTGCATCTGAGGACACAGTGAGAAGATGGCCATCTATGAACCAGGAGGCAAGCCTCCACCAGACCCTGAGTCTGCTGGCACCTTAGTCTTGGACTTTTCAGCGTCCAGAAGTGTGCAAAGTAAATGCCTGACGTTTAAGCCACTCAGTCCACAGTATTTTTGTTAGAGCAGTCTGAAGTAATAAAGACAATGACTATATGTCACCATTTTCACAAACTTGTCTTTTCTGAACTACTGTAATCAACTCCTAACTGATATCTCTTTTCTTGTTCTTATCTTCCACCCAGCAGCTAGAAGGATTCTTTAAAAAAAACATCATTTCATTCTGCTACTTAAAACTCTTCAAAATCTCTCTATATCACACTTGGATACAACCCACAATACTTACTCGAGCTTTAAAGGGCCTTCAAGACCTAGCCCCTGGTTGCTTCTCCCATTTTATCTCCTACCCCTTGCTTACATGATGGTCATATTCACCCCCTTGCCATTTCTTGAATATGATTGCACTTGATTGTTGCACATTCTCCAAGCCTTGGAAGCACTAGATACTCTCACATGTCCTTTTGATCTCTTCTAAATGTAACCTTGCCAAAATGGGCTTTTCTGACTATCCCATTTACTTCATTTTTAAAACTCGACTTAGTGTGAGAGTAAATTATGTTATTTATTTTATAGTTATTGTCTATTTTACATGGAGAATGTAGGCTCCATGAGGGCAAGGGCCTTGCTTTGTTTGCTGTTGTCTCACCAGTGATAAGAAAAGAGCCTGACACAGAATAAATGCTCAATAACAATTTGCTGCATGAATTTATAAATTAAAGAGACTAGACTGTTTTATCTCACATGGCATTAATGATATTTAATTCAGCAGGAAAAAAAAATATAAACGGAACAATACAGTGGAGGCCTTGGTAAGACTTACTCATCTCAGATAGCCAGAGACTAATCCTATACAAATGCAGAGATCTGACATCTCAGTAGACTTTCCTGGGGTCAAATGTTCCTAAGAATGCCAGAATGAAGGATAAATTTCTCACTTTCCTACTGGTTAAAAAGAAGTCATGAAGCTCTAGGGTCATCTTCAGGAGAATAACCCTTAAGATCTGAGAGTAAAGTTATACTCTTTTTGATAGCTTTTATTTCATTTTATTTTAATCATGGGGTACATGTGAGGATTTACTACATAAGTAAATTGCGTGGAGGTGAAGTTTGGGTTTCTAGTGAGCCCTGTCTCTCCTGGTAGTGGACATAGTACCCAGTGGGTTGTTGTGTGCTTCTTATCTCCCCCTTCCCTCTTTCCCTCCCTCCCTCCTTCTCTCTCTCCCATTTCTAGAAATGCTTAGTGTTTGCTGCTCCCACCTTTGTGCTTGTGTGCCCAATGATTAGGGCATGCTTATGAGTGAGAACACATGATATTCAGTTTTTTGTTTCTGTTTAGTTCACTTAGAATGATGGTCTCCAGCTGCACCCATGCTGCTGCAAAGGACATGGTTTTGTTCTTCTTTATGGTTGCATAGTATTCCTTTGTAAATATTACCACACTTTCTTATCCAGTTCCCTTTCAGTGGGTATCTGGGTTGGTTTCATGTTTTTGCTATTATGAATAGTGCTGCAATGAACAGATGTGTGCAGGTGTCTTTTTGATAGAGTGATTTATGTTCCTCTGGGTATATTCTGAGAAGTGGGATTGCTGGATCGAGTGGTAAGCTCAATTTTTAGTACTTTGAGAAAACACCACATTACTTTCCACAAAGGTTGAACTAGGTTTCTATCAACAGTATACAAGCATTCCCTTTTCTCTGTAACCTCACCAACACCTGTTGTTTTTTGACTTTTTAAAAATTTTGCGTCAGAGTCTCACGCTGTCGCTCAGGTTGGAGTGCAGTGACAGGCTCACAGCCACCCCAGCGTCGACCTGCTGGACTCAGGTGATCCTTCCGCCTCAGCCTTCCAAGTAGCCAGAATTATAGGTGCACACCACCACGCCCAGCTAAATTTTTATTTACTTATTGTAGAGATGAGGTCTCGCCAAGTTGCCTGGGCTGGTCTCGAAACTGCGGGCTCAGGCAATTCATGCGCCTAGGCCACCCAAATTGCTGGGATGACAGTCTGAGCCACTGAGCCCTGCCCTTTGCCCACTTTTTAATGGAGTTTTTTTTTTTCCCCTGTCAATTCATTTGAGTTCCTTGTAGATTCTAGATGTCTTTGTTGGATGCATGGCTTCTAAATATTTCTTCTCATTCTGAGAGTTGTCTCTTTCTTTTTTTTTCTGTGCAGAAACTTTTAAGTTTGATAGGGCCCTACCTGTCAATTTTAGATTTTGCTGCATTTGCTCTTGAGGACTTGGCCATGAATCCATTGCCTACTCTTATGTCCAGGAGGGTGTTCCCTAAGTTTTCTTCTAAGATTTTTTTGTAGTTTGAGGTTTCACATGTAAGTTCTTGATCAATTTTAGTTAATTTTTGTATGTGGTGATAGGTAGAGGTTCAGTTTTATTCTTCTCACATGGTTAGCCAGTTTCCCTAGCATTATTTGTTAAATATGGTTTCCTTTCCCTAATGTTTGTTTTCATCATCTTTGTTGAAGGTCCATTGTTTTATTTCCAGATTCTCTCTCCTGTTCCATTGGTCTACATGCCTATAACCAATACCATGCTGTCTTGGTTACTGTAGCCATGTAGTGAAGCTTGAAGGCTGAAAGTATGATGCCTCCAGCTTTGTTCCTTTAAGCAGAGGGATTGCCGGAGCCCGACAGATCGACAATGGAGTGGCTGTGAGCATGCCGCTGCCCTCCAGCCTGGGTGACAAAGTGAGGCTCCAACTCAAAACAAAACAAAAATTTTCAGGATGTGATTCTGGAATTGAATTCCTCACCAGATAAG